CATTATTGGAATAGAATGCCAAACAGTATATGCAAAGTTCTTAAAGTTTGAGCTTACATATAACGTCTCAATCTCTTTTTTTTGCTGACCGTTTTTAGCATTTAGAACTCTAATATAACTAGTATTAGCAATTAGTAGTAAAATATTTGCTCCTAAGTGAAGTTCTTGGAAATGTAGATTATTTTGGATTAATTTTAAAACAAAATAGGGCATTCTATAATCTTTTGATATCTTTTTTTTTTAAGCTGAGTTGATTGGTAAGTTCAGAGTAATTATGAGAATACTTCGTAGTCTAAAGGCATATAAAAAATTTTTTTAAGTAGAGCTAAGCCACTGATTATCATTTCTAAATTTAGATTGTCTGTCATGCTTGTTTATTCCAATATTCAAATTAAAACTCAGAGTGACTTCCTACCAATCATGATTAATTGTCAGATGACACCATTATTAGGCAAATTTTCGAATACGGTAATTTGGCTACACATGTCACAAAGCGGCACGTGCTCATTTGCCAAATTACAACTTCTCCAGCATTGCCACCAAATTACTAACAAAATTTTTGATCACGTGAGATTATCCAATAGTGGATCACACTTTAGTGTAATATAGCACAATCAGAAAGATTAAAACAAACGTTCGCTTTTTCAAAAATTGTCAATAGCTTGAAAATTTACATATGAAACAATCTTTTGTGCTCTAACAAAAAAAATTTCTTGAACAATTTTACTAAAAAACCTCATAATCCTAACCTTGTCATAGGCCCTAACTCTAACATTAACGAACTTAAAAATTTTGCCAGTATCATGTGATCAGAAAAAAATTGGTGGCGATGCTAGGGAAGATCCAAATTACGTACATCTTCCCACCAAAATTCCACCCACACGTGACTAACTACAAAATTCGTTAAGTTTTTTTTATGTTAGATTAGGGTTAGGATGAGTACCTATGTTAGTGTTTGGGTTTGAGCTTTTATATAGTAAAATCGCTCAAGGAAAACTTTTTGTTAATATGTAGAAGGTGATTTGATGTGCCATTTTTTGAGAAATGAGCAATTTTTGTCAAAATGAATATTTGTTTTGAATTTTCCTAATCGTGTAATGTTACATCTAATCTTGAAATTTGATTGGATTCTGATCATGTGCGGGTGAAATTTTGGTTCGAATTAACCATAGTAATAGCTGCGGCAACAAAATTGTCACGGCAAATCATCGATTTGCCCACATTACATAATCATTTATAAGGTTTAATTTTATCCAAATAAGTTATACAGGTGGTATGTTTGGATATTCAGTAAATATTTGTTCTATTATTATGATTGATTGTGTCTGCAAATTGTATCTTTCTCCATTTTTAGGCTTCCTTAGTTTTAATCATTTCATGGTGGAATCTCTGAGATCATGTTCTATTGAACATACAAATTCTTAGTTTTTGAGCAATTCTAATAATCTGTAGTTGCTGATTTTCTTTAATGTTAGATTTCTTTTAAGTTTCTTTAATATGAACATTTGATCTTGTGGTTTAAATATCTCTAGATATTTATAACTATAGTGCACATTTAGTATTTTGTTACAGAAATATGCTTGATTTTGCTTTGTATCTGGTTTTTCTCATATTATAATAGTTTCTTGTATTTTTCAAATTGAAGTATTTCTTTGAGTGTTGTAGTTTCTACTTGTTTTGGGCATACTAAATATTCTTGATGTGTCATTGCTGGTATATGTTCTCTAATTTCTTCTTCATCTACCAGGCTTTCTATATCTTCAAAACAGTATTTTGCTTAATTATTGTTAGTATAGGCTTGTTCTAGATTACTATAGTCTTACAGTTTTTGTAGTATTTGTGTATTTCATTAAAAATGTAATCTAATAGTTGTTTGATCATTGATATTAATGATAACTAGATTACTTTGTCATAAGTATACCATTTCCATTCTGATGCATTTTCTGGTTCGGTTTGCTTCAGTTTTGTCTAGATATTCACTAGGTAAATAAACATAATTATATCGTAACACATGAAAAAAATCATGATCATATGGGTTTGTCGGATAACTTATCTTTTTCGTTATTTAAGTAATTATTTTTATCACAAAAAAATACATATATTTATCCGACATATTACTATGATCGGGCTGCCAAATAACACGGGTTATTTGGCATAAAAAAGTTTATTTTGGTTATTTGGCAGAAATTGATAGCTTATTTCAGTTATTTGGCAGAAATTGATAGCTTATTTCGGTTATTTTGGCAGAAAATGATAGCTTATTTCGGTCATTTGGCAAAAAGCAATTCTCAGACTAAAACTCGCCAACAAATAATATAGATTCCCGGGTTTTAAAATTCATTTAGATAGAACGCTTACTATAACGATAAGTTTTCAAATTTTTAAAATTCTTACTGTATAATAAAGCACTTAAGCAAATTTTCAATTCATAAAATCTTATAAACTAAATAATACATTTCTTGAAACTTTATGAACCCATATCTATTCAATTTATATTAACATGCTCAGCGGTTATATAATAATTTTTAACAATTGAAGCGCCAGAAGTATTTTCATAAAAATTATCATTAGAAGTATTTTCTGTAAGAATTATCTTCATGAAGAACCTTACGAATTGTTTGGCGTCCACCAATTGTAGGGTTTCGTTTTGTAGCATTAATGTGTAACGGTAAATTTGTTTTAGCAGTTTTGCGTAAAGGTTGCTGGAATGGTTTTGTCAGATTAGGATTAAGTGTAGATGCTGATTCAATTGAAGAATTCTTGGGCTAAAAAATCAATAAATATAATATTTGATATTCATATTAATATTAAAATAAATTGCGATACTGATACATACCCGTTTCGAATTCGTAATAGCTTTATCATCCTACAAATAATTATAAAATTCTAAATTAATGATATTTTTTAGTAAAAAAAAATTCAAAATTTGAATCTAATATTACCTTGATTGATGCTTCTGATTCTTGTGGGTTAGAAGGTAATACTCCAACACTGCTAATTAACAACGATAATGCATCCTCTTTTTGTTTATTAGAGGGACGAGCATAAATTCGATAGGATGACTCACTTTTATGTCCAGTAATGGACATAGTGGTACCCATTGCAACGCCTTTTTGAAAAAGGGAAGTAATTGGAGTCGATCGGCCTGAGTAATTTACAATGTCACGGTCTTTTATATCAATTCCTACTGCCGTACAAACGTTTTTCATAAAAGATCTGCAAGATCTTGCTCCTAATCGTTCGTCAAGATACCACGAATCATTCGAATAATCTAAATAGAGTTAAATAGTTCAAAAAATATATATTAAATTTTCATATAATTTCATGCAACGTATTATTAATATTAGCATACTTACTATTAATTTTCTTGTTAATTTTTAGATATAAAAATGGACATTTAGAATTTGTTGGTCTCTTTGAAAAGTAAAATTTAATATCGTAGACAGGGCCTTGAGAACCTTCAGGATCAGGTGGAACAGTACGATAAGTGCATCTGAATTACCATCTACGCCACCCTGATCATTTTTTTGTGAATGTTTTTTGAATTAAATTCCACCGTTAGAAGGAAATTCAAACTGTTCTGTCAACATATCATAATGTTCACCGCCACGAGGTTGGAGCAGCAAACAGCACCACATAAAAACCCGATACTGTAAACCTTGTGGAGTATTATTAGCAACTGCATAATGTTGAAATATAGTTTGCAATTCAGTATCCGTAAGATGGTGACGTGAAACTAAACCTTCTTTTTTGAGCTTTTTCATTTTTCCATTCAACGCTTCCCATAAATGGGCAAACTCCTTTCTATTAGATATGTTAAAAGACTTGGTACCCTCTGGGTGCTTTAAAATATGAACACTTAGTAATTTAATACAGTTAATTAGAGATGACGGTGCATATTCCTTATTCGTATTGACTTGTCGAATTCCAACAATGAATTCAGTCATTTCACGTTCAAGCTGATCCTTATCTGTAACAATTTCAATTCTATAGTTATATCCTACATCACGACGCCAGTTTTCTAAAATCTTTACCCATTTTGCCGTAGCCCTTTGGGTGTTTTCAGGAATAGTGTTATTGATTATTTCGTCAATTTCAGCACTGGTAGGTCTGTAATATTTATTTTTTGTGGTATCCATTTGTTTACTAGTCGATTAGAAAGAGAGAGAGTTATAATCGCTTTTAGATCAGTTAAGTATTTATAGACAAAATAACTATGTCATATACTTTTAATTAAACTTTTGTCTCATAAATTAAATTCTTAAATCCTTAAATAGTTAAAAAAAAATAAATAATAAATAAATTAACTACTTAACTGTCGCTTATTTATATTTCCTTTATTGTAAGTATATAATTAAATTTGAATTAATATATATATATTTATGATATGTAATTTGTTAATAAATTTCTTTTCTTTTTTTAATTTATTCGTTTTACGTCATGCCCGATCGTCGTAATATATCGGATAATACCGTTATTGGACGCTACGCACCAATAACTGTCGTATCTGAGCCAGAATTTGATCGGTCGATGTCTGGGCCCCTACGGGGCCCAGACATCTTCCGATCAAATTCTGGCTACAGATACTTTCCGTTATTTGTCATGTGTAACAATAATATCGTGATCATGCGGATCACGATATAATTATTACACAATGTCAAATAACTATATATTATACTTGCATATTAGAAAATTTATTCGATGTACTTCTCTTGTAAAACAAATATATTATAAGGCCAACTATTTCGAGTAAAACTATTGAAGCTATAGAAATCACTACAATCACAATTGTACTTAATGTATATGTATCATTATATGAAATAGTTGAATTAAGATTTTGCAGTGTGTCTGTAACCCACATGTAAGTTCTAGTATCAAGAAGATATAGTTGTGTATTCAAATTATTTATTTCAAAAGTACTATTATCATAATTTATTATACCTCTTGAACCTTTATAAATTAAATTATATTAATTGGTTTTTTTTTCTAAATTTATAATAAATTAAATGAATTTTATAATTACCAAATGCTATGATCATAAAATTATCTACTATAGCGGCAGAATGAAATATAAGTTGGGGTGGTACATTGTTACCGATCATAGGTTTAGCTGACCATTTATACGGGTTAACAGTCGTGTCTAATGAAGCTAACAATTCATTTTGATCTGTAGGACCCTTTCCACCATAGAGTATAACATGCCCATCTGGCGATAATACAGCAGAGTGGAAGATTCTAGGACTTATTTCATCACCACCAGTAATCTAATAAATTATATAAGAAAGGCGAATGTTCATTAACGTTCAACAAATAGAAAGTTGCCAAAACATTAGCATTGTAGACCATGAGTCATTATTAGTATTATAAAATCTAACTTGAAAGTAAAAATTTAAAATAGTAAATATTAGTAAATACTTAAATATACTCAAATTATACTTAAATGTAATTTGCCCATATTACCTTGAATATATTAATATTGTCACCTCCTAAATAAAGTATAAGGCCATTATTTATTAGTGTAGCTGTAAAGTCACCACGTGAAGTTGGCGCATTAACATTAGAGCCTTGTGTCCAAGTAAATTTTAATGTATCAAGAATATAAATGTCATTAAGTGCATCACCAGGACTATGACTCATAAATCCCCCAAACCTAAGAAATTTCAAATTATCAAAAATATAATTAACTACTTTGTTAAAAAAATAAAAATAGAAAATAAAGATAGTAAAAATAAACATACATATATATCTTGCCACTAGTGTCATTAACAGCTTGAAATTGTTGACGACTAGCAGGCATCATTCCGCTAATATTAGGAATACACCATGTAAAGTTTTCTGTATCAAAGGCATATACCATAGTATAATTATTAGTACCATTAGTTGTATTGAGGTAATCCAAAAGGTATATCGTTTTATAATTAGGACCTCCCACACATGCACTTGCATATGTAGAATTCGAAGGGATTGGGGATTTATGAGTCATAGTCCTGGTGATGCACTTAATGACATTTATATTCTTGATACATTAAAATTTACTTGGACACAAGGCTCTAATGTTAATGCGCCAACTTCACGTGGTGACTTTACAGCTACACTAATAAATAATGGCCTTATACTTTATTTAGGAGGTGACAATATTAATATATTCAAGGTAATATGGGCAAATTACATTTAAGTATAATTTGAGTATATTTAAGTATTTACTAATATTTACTATTTTAAATTTTTACTTTCAAGTTAGATTTTATAATACTAATAATGACTCATGGTCTACAATGCTAATGTTTTGGCAACTTTCTATTTGTTGAACGTTAATGAACATTCGCCTTTCTTATATAATTTATTAGATTACTGGTGGTGATGAAATAAGTCCTAGAATCTTCCACTCTGCTGTATTATCGCCAGATGGGCATGTTATACTCTATGGTGGAAAGGGTCCTACAGATCAAAATGAATTGTTAGCTTCATTAGACACGACTGTTAACCCGTATAAATGGTCAGCTAAACCTATGATCGGTAACAATGTACCACCCCAACTTATATTTCATTCTGCCGCTATAGTAGATAATTTTATGATCATAGCATTTGGTAATTATAAAATTCATTTAATTTATTATAAATTTAGAAAAAAAAACCAATTAATATAATTTAATTTATAAAGGTTCAAGAGGTATAATAAATTATGATAATAGTACTTTTGAAATAAATAATTTGAATACACAACTATATCTTCTTGATACTAGAACTTACATGTGGGTTACAGACACACTGCAAAATCTTAATTCAACTATTTCATATAATGATACATATACATTAAGTACAATTGTGATTGTAGTGATTTCTATAGCTTCAATAGTTTTACTCGAAATAGTTGGCCTTATAATATATTTGTTTTACAAGAGAAGTACATCGAATAAATTTTCTAATATGCAAGTATAATATATAGTTATTTGACATTGTGTAATAATTATATCGTGATCCGCATGATCACGATATTATTGTTACACATGACAAATAACGGAAAGTATCTGTAGCCAGAATTTGATCGGAAGATGTCTGGGCCCCGTAGGGGCCCAGACATCGACCGATCAAATTCTGGCTCAGATACGACAGTTATTGGTGCGTAGCGTCCAATAACGGTATTATCCGATATATTACGACGATCGGGCATGACGTAAAACGAATAAATTAAAAAAAGAAAAGAAATTTATTAACAAATTACATATCATAAATATATATATATTAATTCAAATTTAATTATATACTTACAATAAAGGAAATATAAATAAGCGACAGTTAAGTAGTTAATTTATTTATTATTTATTTTTTTTTAACTATTTAAGGATTTAAGAATTTAATTTATGAGACAAAAGTTTAATTAAAAGTATATGACATAGTTATTTTGTCTATAAATACTTAACTGATCTAAAAGCGATTATAACTCTCTCTCTTTCTAATCGACTAGTAAACAAATGGATACCACAAAAAATAAATATTACAGACCTACCAGTGCTGAAATTGACGAAATAATCAATAACACTATTCCTGAAAACACCCAAAGGGCTACGGCAAAATGGGTAAAGATTTTAGAAAACTGGCGTCGTGATGTAGGATATAACTATAGAATTGAAATTGTTACAGATAAGGATCAGCTTGAACGTGAAATGACTGAATTCATTGTTGGAATTCGACAAGTCAATACGAATAAGGAATATGCACCGTCATCTCTAATTAACTGTATTAAATTACTAAGTGTTCATATTTTAAAGCACCCAGAGGGTACCAAGTCTTTTAACATATCTAATAGAAAGGAGTTTGCCCATTTATGGGAAGCGTTGAATGGAAAAATGAAAAAGCTCAAAAAAGAAGGTTTAGTTTCACGTCACCATCTTACGGATACTGAATTGCAAACTATATTTCAACATTATGCAGTTGCTAATAATACTCCACAAGGTTTACAGTATCGGGTTTTTATGTGGTGCTGTTTGCTGCTCCAACCTCGTGGCGGTGAACATTATGATATGTTGACAGAACAGTTTGAATTTCCTTCTAACGGTGGAATTTAATTCAAAAAACATTCACAAAAAAATGATCAGGGTGGCGTAGATGGTAATTCAGATGCACTTATCGTACTGTTCCACCTGATCCTGAAGGTTCTCAAGGCCCTGTCTACGATATTAAATTTTACTTTTCAAAGAGACCAACAAATTCTAAATGTCCATTTTTATATCTAAAAATTAACAAGAAAATTAATAGTAAGTATGCTAATATTAATAATACGTTGCATGAAATTATATGAAAATTTAATATATATTTTTTGAACTATTTAACTCTATTTAGATTATTCGAATGATTCGTGGTATCTTGACGAACGATTAGGAGCAAGATCTTGCAGATCTTTTATGAAAAACGTTTGTACGGCAGTAGGAATTGATATAAAAGACCGTGACATTGTAAATTACTCAGGCCGATCGACTCCAATTACTTCCCTTTTTCAAAAAGGCGTTGCAATGGGTACCACTATGTCCATTACTGGACATAAAAGTGAGTCATCCTATCGAATTTATGCTCGTCCCTCTAATAAACAAAAAGAGGATGCATTATCGTTGTTAATTAGCAGTGTTGGAGTATTACCTTCTAACCCACAAGAATCAGAAGCATCAATCAAGGTAATATTAGATTCAAATTTTGAATTTTTTTTTACTAAAAAATATCATTAATTTAGAATTTTATAATTATTTGTAGGATGATAAAGCTATTACGAATTCGAAACGGGTATGTATCAGTATCGCAATTTATTTTAATATTAATATGAATATCAAATATTATATTTATTGATTTTTTAGCCCAAGAATTCTTCAATTGAATCAGCATCTACACTTAATCCTAATCTGACAAAACCATTCCAGCAACCTTTACGCAAAACTGCTAAAACAAATTTACCGTTACACATTAATGCTACAAAACGAAACCCTACAATTGGTGGACGCCAAACAATTCGTAAGGTTCTTCATGAAGATAATTCTTACAGAAAATACTTCTAATGATAATTTTTATGAAAATACTTCTGGCGCTTCAATTGTTAAAAATTATTATATAACCGCTGAGCATGTTAATATAAATTGAATAGATATGGGTTCATAAAGTTTCAAGAAATGTATTATTTAGTTTATAAGATTTTATGAATTGAAAATTTGCTTAAGTGCTTTATTATACAGTAAGAATTTTAAAAATTTGAAAACTTATCGTTATAGTAAGCGTTCTATCTAAATGAATTTTAAAACCCGGGAATCTATATTATTTGTTGGCGAGTTTTAGTCTGAGAATTGCTTTTTGCCAAATGACCGAAATAAGCTATCATTTTCTGCCAAAATAACCGAAATAAGCTATCAATTTCTGCCAAATAACTGAAATAAGCTATCAATTTCTGCCAAATAACCAAAATAAACTTTTTTATGCCAAATAACCCGTGTTATTTGGCAGCCCGATCATAGTAATATGTCGGATAAATATATGTATTTTTTTGTGATAAAAATAATTACTTAAATAACGAAAAAGATAAGTTATCCGACAAACCCATATGATCATGATTTTTTTCATGTGTTACGATATAATTATGTTTATTTACCTAGTGAATATCTAGACAAAACTGAAGCAAACCGAACCAGAAAATGCATCAGAATGGAAATGGTATACTTATGACAAAGTAATCTAGTTATCATTAATATCAATGATCAAACAACTATTAGATTACATTTTTAATGAAATACACAAATACTACAAAAACTGTAAGACTATAGTAATCTAGAACAAGCCTATACTAACAATAATTAAGCAAAATACTGTTTTGAAGATATAGAAAGCCTGGTAGATGAAGAAGAAATTAGAGAACATATACCAGCAATGACACATCAAGAATATTTAGTATGCCCAAAACAAGTAGAAACTACAACACTCAAAGAAATACTTCAATTTGAAAAATACAAGAAACTATTATAATATGAGAAAAACCAGATACAAAGCAAAATCAAGCATATTTCTGTAACAAAATACTAAATGTGCACTATAGTTATAAATATCTAGAGATATTTAAACCACAAGATCAAATGTTCATATTAAAGAAACTTAAAAGAAATCTAACATTAAAGAAAATCAGCAACTACAGATTATTAGAATTGCTCAAAAACTAAGAATTTGTATGTTCAATAGAACATGATCTCAGAGATTCCACCATGAAATGATTAAAACTAAGGAAGCCTAAAAATGGAGAAAGATACAATTTGCAGACACAATCAATCATAATAATAGAACAAATATTTACTGAATATCCAAACATACCACCTGTATAACTTATTTGGATAAAATTAAACCTTATAAATGATTATGTAATGTGGGCAAATCGATGATTTGCCGTGACAATTTTGTTGCCGCAGCTATTACTATGGTTAATTCGAACCAAAATTTCACCCGCACATGATCAGAATCCAATCAAATTTCAAGATTAGATGTAACATTACACGATTAGGAAAATTCAAAACAAATATTCATTTTGACAAAAATTGCTCATTTCTCAAAAAATGGCACATCAAATCACCTTCTACATATTAACAAAAAGTTTTCCTTGAGCGATTTTACTATATAAAAGCTCAAACCCAAACACTAACATAGGTACTCATCCTAACCCTAATCTAACATAAAAAAAACTTAACGAATTTTGTAGTTAGTCACGTGTGGGTGGAATTTTGGTGGGAAGATGTACGTAATTTGGATCTTCCCTAGCATCGCCACCAATTTTTTTCTGATCACATGATACTGGCAAAATTTTTAAGTTCGTTAATGTTAGAGTTAGGGCCTATGACAAGGTTAGGATTATGAGGTTTTTTAGTAAAATTGTTCAAGAAATTTTTTTTGTTAGAGCACAAAAGATTGTTTCATATGTAAATTTTCAAGCTATTGACAATTTTTGAAAAAGCGAACGTTTGTTTTAATCTTTCTGATTGTGCTATATTACACTAAAGTGTGATCCACTATTGGATAATCTCACGTGATCAAAAATTTTGTTAGTAATTTGGTGGCAATGCTGGAGAAGTTGTAATTTGGCAAATGAGCACGTGCCGCTTTGTGACATGTGTAGCCAAATTACCGTATTCGAAAATTTGCCTAATAATGGTGTCATCTGACAATTAATCATGATTGGTAGGAAGTCACTCTGAGTTTTAATTTGAATATTGGAATAAACAAGCATGACAGACAATCTAAATTTAGAAATGATAATCAGTGGCTTAGCTCTACTTAAAAAAATTTTTTATATGCCTTTAGACTACGAAGTATTCTCATAATTACTCTGAACTTACCAATCAACTCAGCTTAAAAAAAAAAGATATCAAAAGATTATAGAATGCCCTATTTTGTTTTAAAATTAATCCAAAATAATCTACATTTCCAAGAACTTCACTTAGGAGCAAATATTTTACTACTAATTGCTAATACTAGTTATATTAGAGTTCTAAATGCTAAAAACGGTCAGCAAAAAAAAGAGATTGAGACGTTATATGTAAGCTCAAACTTTAAGAACTTTGCATATACTGTTTGGCATTCTATTCCAATAATG